CTCACAAAAAGAAAAACTTTGCTGGTGAATCGATACGTGCCGGGTGCCATTAGCGAGTAACAGGTGTTGTTAATGTATGTTTGTAGTCGAGAGAAACGGTGGAGAATTTAACCTGTTTTTTGTACACGGTCGTTGTAGGGGAGAATTTAAAACATACATACAACCAAATAAACAAACCAACAAATTAAACAACAAAGAAAAGAAATATATCAAATAAATAAATTAAACAAAGTAATTAAAATCAAATTAATTAAAATGAATTTCAAACAAATAAGCAAATTACGTAACTCGTTAATAAAAATTACACACTATAAACAAAGTAATTAAATTAAACAACAAGTAAACAAACTAATTAAACAATCAAAGTAATTAAATTACATAACTAGTCAATAAAAATTCAAACTAATTATAAAATAAAATTAAAATTACGTAACTAGATACAAAATAAATAAAAATCAAATTAATTAAACTTATTAAAAATAAAATTACGTAACTAGATACAAAATAAAAATAATTAAAAAGTTAAAATCAAACAAATACAAAATAAATAAAAAATCGAATTAATTAAACTTATTAAAAATAAACAAACAAAACACAAACAAAGTAATTAAAATCAAATTAAAACAATAAAATTACGTAACTAGGTCAAAAATTAATTAAAATTTAAAAAACTCATTAAAACTAATTAAAAAACGCATTAAATTTACGTAACTAGGTCAATGATTACGTCATAATGTTACTAATTACGTCACAAGGTCACCGGTGGTGACCTACTGACCTACTCCCCCTCCTGCTCACCCACCCTAGGGTGGGTGAGTATTTTACTATATCTCATTGTCCCAGGCTGCTCACCCACCCTCACCCACCTTCACCCAGGTGGGTGAGTATTTTCCTATATCTCGTTGTCCCAGGCTGCGCCACCTGCTCACCCACCCTCACCCAGATGGGTGAGTATTTTGCTATATGTCGGTGTACCTCCACCTCCCCCAGGGAGTATTTTACTATATCTCATTGTCCCAGGCTGCGGCAGGCTGCGCCTGGTGGTGGGAGTATTTTACTATATGTCATTGTCCCAGGCTGGGGGAGTATTTTACTATATATCCTTTGCTCCTGCTCCTGCTCCACCTCCTGCTCCTGCTCACCCAGCGCCTGCGCCTTCGCTCCAAAAGGGACCTAATATACTACTAACATCCCATCATACATATTAACCTAGGCGCTACGTGACTATCCAAGGGGTGAACTGGCTGGGTCGAAGCGGCCCGGGAAATAAATTAAAAGCATCCCCTACCCGACTTAATTTTTCATGGTGTATTTTTTTTTCTCCATTTAAATCTGAGGACTGATGCCTCCGAAGTCACGGATCTCTTAACAAATTGCGATATAAAATATTAACAAAAGAAAAAACGTGAAGGGTTACAGCACTGATCACTGCGGCCCACGGGATTTGTTCCTGGTGGCACAGTCTACCCGTGTCTGACGCTTTAAATTGGTTTAGAAAAATAAAAGGTAGGCCCCAGGGTAGCCTGAACTTGTGGCACGGTCCAATAGAGAACACCGACCATGTCCTCCAAGACAGCAGATTACAACAAGGGACATGGTCTAGACTCCGGCCTCGCTCCGAGAAACAAAAACTTGAGACACACGTTATCATAGCTGGTTAACTCCATTATTTAGCCTATACTTGTGTACCCTATGTTAAAACTACTCTTGTACACCCCACGATGTAGCCTTTGATGTCCCCCAATAAGTCGCACCAATAATCCGACCATACTCCCCACTCTCATTCCACTATACAGCCTGTAGCGGGGGCACATTGCAGACACGTAGATACACAACGCCAACACACAATGTGGATGATCACAATCGACACAACACAGGTTAACAGCCAAAACCACGTACCACTATTTTGTTTTTAAATCATTAGAAAATGTTCAACTTTTAGCTGTTGTTAAAATACGTATGGGTAAGCCTACCATACGTTAATGTTATAGACATAGGAGGCTTACCTTATATTATCGCACGTGTGCTTTATAGCCATAATAGACCTACATTTCTTTTACATAGTTCATACAATTATTTTCCAATATAGCCTTACATAATTAAAAATTGCTACGTACATTACCTTCCGGTCATTTTTACTTACTATTACTATATCTTCGAGAGTCACGTGCATGCATGCGTCTGTGCTAAATCTAAGTATATTAATGTGACATTTTTATGTGGGCATTTTTTGCATGACTTCTTCCCTGGGATAACCTGTGACTTTTTTCCGTTCACCGTCAAAATGTGGACGTTTGGGTAGGCAGACAATGCTGTGGACGTTTGGGTAGGCAGACAATGCTGTGGACGTTGGGGTAGGCAGACAATGCTGTGGACGTTTGGGTAGGCAGACAATGCTGTAGACGTTTGTGTAGGCAGACATATAGCCGTAGACGTTTGTGTAGGCAGACATACTGCCGTAGACGTTTGTGTAGGCAGACATACTGCCGTAGACGTTTGTGTAGGCAGACATACTGCCGCAGACGTTTGTGTAGGCAGACATACTGCCGTAGACGTTTGTGTAGGCAGACATACTGCCGTAGACGTTTGTGTAGGCAGACAATGCTGTAGACGTTTGTGTAGGCAGACATACTGCCGTAGACGTTTGTGTAGGCATACATACTGCCGTAGACGTTTGTGTAGGCAGACATACTGCCGTAGACGTTTGTGTAGGCAGACATACTGCCGTAGACGTTTGTGTAGGCAGACATACTGCCGTAGACGTTTGTGTAGGCAGACATACTGCCGTAGACGTTTGTGTAGGCAGACATACTGCCGTAGACGTTTGTGTAGGCAGACATACTGCCGTAGACGCTTGAGTAGGCATACTTATTGCCGTGGACGGTTGGGTAGACAGAAAATGCCGTGGACGTTTGTGTAGGCAGACATATAGCCGGGCCCTTATTATCGAGGACCATACTGTAACTGGGGATTGCAAATTGTCAAATAACTGGTCTTATCACTGGCTCAAAGTGTGTAACGCTGTCAGCATTATATAAACCATTCTCGTACGTCAACAGGTTGGTTATATGGCAGCTAGGTGTTATCTTTCCCTACTATCAATACATTCTTTAAAAAAACAACTGTCCAATAAGTATGCTACGTAATATATTGATCAGCGATTTTATGTCAGGGGACGCAATTTGTGTATTAATTATTGTACTATTAGGTTACCCCCCCCCCCCCTCCCCCCATATACAAAGCCTCATACAAGCACATAATACAAGTGTGTAGACTTAACATAGTAAAAGGGCGTTATCTACACATTATATATATTAATATCATTTTGGGCCTGTGACCTTATAACATACCTGAGTCAGCCCAGCTCTAATGGGTACCTGACTTACATTAGAGAAACAAAAAAGCCGGCTGCACATAGTGCTGACCAGCTGATATCATTGAAACATATGAACTCTACTTCATCTGCCCCATAAAATCATAAATAGCAAACAGATCTAGGTCGGCCTAAAAAAGCGGTTCATGACCTTTATGGAAGTACCATTTCATCTGTGTATTCACTGAACCCTTTTTGGCAGTTGTATCGTCTGCAGACAAAATCCAATTGGGTGTGTGTCTTGACCTCGGCCGAACCCCTGAGGCAGACTTGCTGGACCCCTGGGGTTCAATCAAACACAGGTTGACAACCACTGACTTAAAACAAAGCCACTGAGACTTAATCAAAATAAGAAACCATAATACAAAAATGCCTGTATAAATCATACAAAGTATATTTTTATCAGCCATTGGTTGTACACATTTCACATATCATGAAACTAGTTCACATCCTGTTTTCCCATTAGTGCTCAAGACACATGGGGCAGATGAAAAAGAGTTCATCTGTTTAAATTACCTATACACACAGATGGATGGTGTGGTACACTCTAGTATGCCCAGCCACCTTTGTTAAAAAAATGATTTATTTCTAAAAAATATTTGCTGGACTCTCACCATTGAATACTGTTTGATTCCATTTTTTAAAACAAGTCCTTAAAACATGCAATTATGTTTAAACTTTGGTTTCTAACATATCTAACACTACTTTTTAAAATGTAAGTGTGTTGTCACATTTTCTGAACCGCATCCATCCACCTTGTTGTCACAACTGTCTAGACCCCCTGCACCTAGGCGTGTGATACCATCTATGGACATTTTATGTTTAGTTAACAGGCTAGTCTACTTCTAGGTGAATAGGATAAACCAAGACATCACTAAATTTTGAGACTAACTTGACCCTTTGTTATCTAGATTGCAAAGTGTAATGTATTTTTGCCAACAGTTGTCTCTTTCAAATTATCTTTTTTTCATCTGGTATCCATTCCTCCCTCCAACCCCACTTTACTTCCTTGTAGCACAGTGTCATAATTCATAATGTCTGATGCAAGAAAAACCACTCTGAACAGATAATAAAATGCAAATGGGCAAAGTAGTTTCCATTTGTAGTGAACTATAACTATAAGATTATAAAGGCTATTTGTGCTATTTTAGGCATATACAAACTAAAAATATTATTGTTAAATTTTGTCCTCTAGCCCATGAGTAAATGTTTATATCTTTCCTGTGCAAATAATATTCTGATGTAGTAGGTACAACTTTAAACTGTGACAATCCTACCACTTTGCTCTGATTGGTCACTGTACATTGAGTGTAGTATAAATACCCACTTAAGTAAGCTAGTAAGAATAGCTACAGCCAATCAAAACATACATAATATCAATAAATGGGCAAAGAAGTATTCTCTTTGTAAGTCTTATTTATAAGTATTAGTGGGTGTAAGACTTACAGTAAGACTTTAAGTGAGAGTAGGCCCATATGCCATATGTTGAATATTTTGCCTTAGGCCTTTCTAGTATCACACCACTATTCTCCCCCCCCCCCCCCACCGGTGACTCTACTGATATCTACTATTTTATTTTTTACTTAGATCTAGATCTAGGTCTAAGGAATAAAACTCAGTAACTTACCTTATCTTGATACACAGCAACATCACAAGTGATATTCTGACAACAGTGATTAATGCATTCACTGTTCGAAGTTACACCTTTTATCGAGTCAATATATTCTGCACCCGCCTTTATAGAATCAGTAGCTTTGATAATCACACCACTCTGTAAATTAGGCTCGCAGTTAGATGGATGATGATTCGAACGTGATCTTGATCTACTAACAACACCGACAGCACTTGTATCTCCAAGATTTTGTTTACTATCGACTTCGTTAGATTCGCCTAACTGATTGTGATAACTGTGGCCGCCAAGCCGCTTAAAAATGTCAATAATATTATTTGCATCGATATATTGATAATCTGCATTGAAATTTTCTTTACTAGTGCATGATAGCTTGCAAAAAGCCATAACAAACAAAATTCTGTAAAGCATAGTTACTCTGTTTATGTAGTATGACTCCATATTTAATATTGTAGCTTCCGTTATTTGCGACATGCGCACACTGCTAAATGGCGTATAAATTTGGATTCAGCGAAAACCAAAACAAAAGAGTACTGTGGGAAAATGATTATAATAAACTCAAACTGAAAGCTTACAAGAAAAAACATATTCTTTTTATTTTAATATAACTGACTTGTATACTTTTTAAACATATTTTTCATAAAATACTTTTTTCAGAAGCATAAAAGAAAATTCTAACAATGAGCCGGAACCCGTTCCGCAAGTCTGTGGGCTATTACGAAGTTATGGCTACGTCGTATACAAGCAGTACAAACTCCGATCAAGTGGATTTATATCAACAACCAAATCGGATGGAAAATACACATACACAAGAATCGCCAAGAAATGTAGGATTTAGCAATCTTAAAGAGCAGCATACCGAAAAAAAGAAAAAATACCTGACGGCTAAGTATGGGGCCCACCAAATGTTTTTGATAAAGAAGCGACTCGGTGTTGAGATGTGGGTGTTTGATGAACTCAGGAGATTATACAATAGTGAGGTAAGTCCTTTTACTCAACTTTTACTGATAAATAATTAAATATGATAAGATATTCTAGATCTAGATCACATCTAGTCATCTAGATATAACTTTCAATTATCCATAGATCTGATTCTATCTATTAATTACCTAAAATGGCTAAAAGGTCACCAATGCCAATGATAAGCAATGAGTAGACTCAAGTACAGTAAAGTTAGGGATTTAGGTAAAAAAACACTAATCATCATATAACAATAAAAATTACATATTCTTGTAGAGCTCAACAAAATGAAAACAAAACAAAAAAGATTTTTTGTCTAGCTCAAATAGTTTTTTTTTTGCGAATTTTTTTGTGAGGGGTGGAATCCCCTTGCTTTAGCATTGGCCAATTGTGACAAGTCATGGTATACCTGAATAAATTGAGCATAGTTATTTTACTTGCAGTTGTATTTTGTTCATATTTGCAGAGTTTAACTAGAATGATATATAGAACTTGTAAATGCTGTTGAAATTAATAAAAATAATACAGAACTTATATTTTTGTGTTGGCTTCCTCCCATAACCCCAAAAAACTGTGTGCTGCGCAAATATGAAAATGTTTCTAAAGCCATATTTTATATAAATACAGCAAATGAAAGAACTACAAAGTTAGAAATCTAAAGTAAATGACTTGAACACTGTTATGTGCATATAATTGCCTCATTATTTTGGGCAGGTGAAGTAGAGTCCATCTTTAAGCCATTTTGTTATAAAACTGCTGCGCAAATATGAAAATGTTTCTAAAGCAATATTTTATATAAATACAGTGAATGAAAGAACTCCATAGTCAGAAATCTAAAGTAAATGACTTGAACACTGTAATGTGTCTATAACTGCCTTGTTATTTTGGGCAGGTGAAGTAGAGTCCATATAAAAGCCATTTTGTAATAAGTGAAATGAAGTTATCAGATCAATGTTTTTATGTGTGAATTGTGTATGGATTCTGATTTTCAGCATATAACTATATCTAAGGGTAAGTAGAACTTGAATACTTAAAATTACAGTTAGCACAATGCTAGTGTATAGCAACAGACAGGTAACCTAGATCTAGGTCTGACTCTCGTCAGTCTAGAGTCTAGTCTGACAAAATTGGATTTTTAGGAAAAACATATTCTGCAAAACTAGAACTAGAGCTGAAAAAATTAAAGATGGGTATGTAAATATATTTTGAAATAAAAAATTAGATTTGTTTGCACATGCCATTGCCATAAGAATGCTGTTATTAGTTGATCAAACTTAAAGGCAGGAAGATCGGGATGAAAAAATATAACAATGGTGGCAGCGTGACCTACATACAGTGACTACGTTCGGAGGGGTATAACTAATGTCGGAGTCAAAATATCCAAAAACAAATTTCATTTCCAATTACTTAAGATATGTCTGATCAGTAATCTACTCTCATCTAGAGGAATCTTTTAAAAAATCGAGATTCCAACGTATTTGAAACTAACCTTGATACAGAGGGAAGACCAAAGCAGAGACAGCATGCAATCAGGTCGCAAAGCCATCAAAACTAAGGGATAACCACTCTTCTTTTTAATTAACCTTAGGAAATGACCTTTTAAACTTAATTAATTACCATAAATTAAAAACTTATTAGTATGCAAAACCAAATCTCGTGGGTCCGGTATCAGAAAGTAATGGGCGATTTCGGGTCATGTTTTTACCGCGAACTCGGCGGATGCCGACAACCCTAGTAAAGTAGAGTTAAAGTCTACCGTAGATTTAGATCTAGTAGTCGAAATACCCATTCATACTAAATCATGTATGTAGTATGTAGATCTAGATTCTACCTACGATTTTATTAAATAATAAAATAAAGGCAGATGCTAGCCGGAATAAGATACGCATGTGCAATGGAGAGAAACTACCACTTGCCTTCGCAGCAATGTTTCGATGGTACTGCACATGCGTGTGTTTACAACCGCAGAACCCTAACCCTATCCCTAATCCTATCCAATCCCTAACCCTAGCCCTAACCCTAATCCTACCCCTAACCCTCATTCTAACCCTAGCCATGGGTCACTGCGCATGCGCAGAGCTATCTTTTGCCGACTAAGTGGAGAAAAATCTTCCGAGTAGTCACTTCGTAAAATAAATAACCAAGCAAGACCTATTCACTGTTTTATTCATTTATTGCTGCTATTGGCTCTAGATCTAGATTCTAGCTAAGTAGATCTAGATCTAGCTATTGTTTATCTAGAATCTGGTCTAGACTGGAGACTAGATTTCTAGATTTAGTCGAAAGGCCCATTCATACTAAATTTTTAAAAAATAAATTATGTAGATTTCTAGATGTTTAGCGGCGAGGGAGGGGGTATATATACGTCCCCGGGCGCTGACCCTAGGGGCGCCAAAATAAGCTAATTTTAGCTGCCATTTTGAATTATAAATATAACAAATATATATTGGGGGGGGGGGGGGGGGCGCCAAATTGAAAGTAGTTATGTAGCCTTGCATGATAACAAATTATTTGCAAGTGTTATAGATTTATCACTGATTTTTATATTTTTAGAATATTACATTTGTGAAACTTTTTTATGGCAGCCGTAACCCCACCAGTTTTATTTGTGCATTCACCAAACCCTTCATAATATTTCTATTGTCTGATGTCCACAATTACAAAATCCAATTGCGAATCATATGAGTGGGGCATGTGTCTTGCCCCCCCCCCCCCCCCCCCCGTTGAACCCCTGAGGCTAACTCACCAAACCCCTGAGGTTAAATTAAGAACCACTGTAGTCTAGATTCAATGTTTAAATTTAGTTTATTATATATATTAAATTAGATTGTAGAATTTAGATATACTTAACAAATGTTGTCCAATTACCTTCAGATGATAGTAAATTCTAGATCATAGTGTAATACAAGTAGCCTACTCAAGCCTACTGTTACTAAAGTACTTGAATACTGTACAGTAGCATACTACTGTATTATGTATGAGTAATAATTTAGCAATAGACTAATAGGCCTAGTTATGTAGCCTAGCTAGTCACTAAAAATTAAGTATGGAAGGGGAGAAAATGGGCCTATATACTCAATAATAGCTATATGTAATAAGCATAGTCATTGGAACCAATGAATTCTACTTCATCTGCTTCATGTCTGTTGGTAAAAAAACACAACATAACCCAAAAGTAATGGGTTTGGTACCTAAGCAAATATAACTCAAAACTGTCCTTTTTATATTGTAGAGGGGGGTGCCCTTTTTATATTAAAACTAGGTTGTGTTATGCAAAGGTAAAAAAAAATAGGTGCTTATTCTTTTTCACAGTGTTTCTGTCTGTAAACCTCAAGAAGAGCATTGCTTGATCTGGTTAAGCCAGTATAAAAAGTGTTAGGAGAGAAAGAAATAGTAAAGTATTAGGTTACCCAGACTTTGGACAAGTGTTAGTGTTCTCATTTTTTTTTAAAGAAACATATTGTAGAGTTTACATCCTGTTTAAATTATTGGGATTCCCCCAAAGGGATTCCCCAAGAATTCTCCACTTTAATTGGTATACTATTAGCAGCCTTTTCATAGTATAATTTAGCAGCAGAATATATGTAGTATTTTATTGAACTGCTTATTTCATCTCAGTGTTTGTTCATATTTAACAGTAGTTGGAAAAGTGGATTAGACTTGCAATACATTTTTTTTGATTTTACTGTAATAGTATACATTTGGTGGATTGTATTTAAATATAGTTATAGTTTATGATAACTACATATTATATTGGTCAAAAACTATGTTATTATTTTTCCCCACCTACAATAAATCTTACTCATCTTTTTTTGCTTCTGGTGCCATTACATATTCTAATATAATATAGCCAAATAAGTCCATGTTCATTCCTGTTTTATTTATCTTTTGAGATGTAGCTGTTCACTTCTTGTTTAAATTGTATCTTGTGTACAGCATATCTAGTTAGTATCCAACCCATTGAAGTAGTCTTTCACTCACCAACACCAAGTCTATGAGAAGGTGCATGGGTTGTTTTTTCTGCCTGTATGTTACTGTACTAAAGGTCAGAAGACACGTGCAGCTGGTTTGTTTTCCTGTTTGATGCACTGCAACAGTGGTTCTGGTTAATGTTGTAGCTTGCTGTGCTGTGTTTCCACCCCTCTACCTCCCCCCACCCTACTGTAGGGCTTACTTAGGCCCATAGATGTACAGTACAGTGCAGGAGAGAGATAAAACACCTTTGTTGTCCCCTCCCCCCCCCCCCCCCTCACCTTCCCAGAGCTAGTTGCACCGACCAAGGAGGGATGTAAAAAAGCATACTCATTATTACTCGTAGTGGGCTGAGTATCTCCCTCCCCTTAAAACAACTTGTACAAAACCTTTGTTCCCCTCCTCCTTTCCCCTCAGTACAGCTTGTACAACAATTCCCCCCCCCCCCCCCCCTTAACAAGCTGCACAATACTTTTGCTTCCCCTTAAGCAAATGTTACTGTACTTCTCTCCCCCCCCCCCCCCCCCATTACAGATTAAACAGTAATTTTTGTCTCCCGAAGAAAGTGCAGACTTTACAGTGCCCCCCCCCCCCCCATGTTGTACAGAATAGGGCGTGTAGCACAGTACTCATCCATGTGCCCCGCCCTAACACGGCGCGTGTCGAATGTGTCACCTCGTCAGTCCCTCGAGTGTTGACGCACGCCTCTCGCCTTTCTTTCAAGTGTTTCTTCTCTGCTTGTCATATCTCCTCCACACACATCTTAACATGCCGGTATCTACTCCTTGATCCAGCTATTTGCCTTCCTGCTTTACTTGTGGTCTAGCCCGTTACTGTAGCACTTTCTTTCCACCAATTCTTTTTTAATGAAAGTCAATGTTGGTTTTTTAATGCATGTTATTGATAGTTATATTGATCCTACTCTACATAGTGTTGACAGAAACGTAATAGCCGATTTTTTCCCAATTAGGTTTTTTAAACGTTTGGCTAGACTCTGCGGAAGAAAGTCAACAGCAATTTCACGCCAGTTGAATTAGGCGAGGGGGATAGGCAGGCCCTTAGGTAATGGGCTATTAACGAAATGTCAAGTCATATTCCTGGTTCGTCTTGGCTGGGGGAGGGGGGGCAAGTTGCCTTTAGAGAAATCGTTTTAAACCGTTACTTTAAAAAGAAAAATATATCTTAACTTGATGCCCTGCTGGGTGCGTCATTTGTCGTGTTCGGGGGATTAAGTGGTATCGTAGTTGCTGTTTATCCGCCTGCTGTATGCATGAGGAATTAGTTAAGGAGTTGCAGGGGTCTGATTCAGATGAATTCATAGGCCGGCTAGCGATTCTGCGCGGAAATAAATATATTTTTTTGGTATCATTTATTATCTATATGATGTTTTGTTTGTGAATCATCGTTCAAGAATGTTCACCGGCCCTTGTCGCTTTCTACGTTGGCTGATTTTTATGTAGGCCTATGCCTTAACATCAGGTTTTATAGGCTAACTGAATGATCTTATGTGCGAATCTCTCTTACTGTACAACCATTGACGACTTGTTATAGCGGCCATAGACAACTTTACATTATGTTACACGGACTTTGACTTGACATGACATGACCATATAGCGGCCATTGACGACTTTACATCATGTTATAACGACCATTACCGACTTGACATGATCACATAGCGACCATAGACAACTTTACATTATGTAACAGCGGCCATTGACTTGACATGACCATATAGCGGCCATAGACAACTTTACATTATGTAACAGCGGCCATTGACTTTACATGACCATATAGCGGCCATAGACAACTTTACATTATGTAACAGCGGCCATTGACTTTACATGACCATATAGCGGCCATTGACGACTTTACATCATGTTATAGCGACCATTACCGACTTGACATGATCACATAGCGACCATACCACAAGGGTGTGCTGTATTTACTTTGTTGTTCTCACATTGCATTGCTGTAACATTTTTTCTCTCATTACCGCAAAACAAACAAACAAAAAGCACCAATCAGGTCTGAAGCATTTCCCCGTCCCTGGATGGCCATTGTTGGAGGCGTGGGGAGAGGCTTGCCGTGGCTGCAATGAATGTGCTCCTTCATTTCCCGGCTGTTGACCTATTACATCCTCGGTAATGACAAACACTCCACAAGTGGGTGAGGGGGCTCAAGGTGTCAGGGCAAATACTCGCCGCTCTCTCATCACATTGTTTCACATAACTTTATACGTGCCGCCACAGTTAACCACTCTAGTGCCGGCCGGAGTGGGGCTACCCTCTGGTGCAGAGGCGGGACCCCCCCCCCCCACTGGCTAAACTTGTACATCATCTCTTATTGGAGAAACGTGTAAATGCTAAATTGCTATCCACCAACCACTCATCCCCACTCCTCGAGTAAATCTACAATAAAGTCAATGTCTAGTTATCATGTTGTGTTGGCATGAAGCTACTTACCATGCTCACCAAAGGTGAACTGTTCTTAACACCAGTGTTGTGTAGCATGTCTCCTCGCGTGAGTGTTCCTAAAGTCTGCTCTAGTCCAATGGTCTGTGTTTGATCGTTTAGTGCGGCCACAAGCCAAATATTTCCTGACCAGCTATTTGACATTTCCCCCATCTCCATTCATCAGTCTTCGCCCTGTTGGTTTTAGGACCTTTTTGGCCTGTCACCAGTTGATAGGCGGAATTATAAAACACTTGACCTGAGAAATTGATACCGCTCGACTATAGTGTTGACTTGGGCGATGGTATTTGTCTCAAAGCTGCATTACAAGACTTGTAGATCCAAATTGCACGATTCATAGTACCTGTAGATGGGGCTCACCGAGGATACCCCCGCCCCCAGGTTTAATGGAATACGATCTACTTTATGTATAAACACATCGTCGTCTTACTGGCGAAACCAGCAGCCGTTAAAACTGTTACTTTAAGTCTGGGGAGGGGTGGTAAACACCGTAGGTTAGTCACGGCACACGGAACACTACATTTAACCTTGGCGTTGGTGAAGGAACACAATGGCAGTCTAAGGCTGACACACTTGTCTTTGGTCATGATAGTGTTTTTAAAACATATTTGGTTGGTGTGAAACGTTAATGTGCAGTGGTAACAGTATATATTTCTTATACAAATTCTATTTTGTTCGGTTGACGGGGGAGGCGTTTGTTGGGGGGGGGGGGGGGCTTTGTCTTTCCCCGCCTGAAAGAAAATGATTCTGACGTTATGCACGATACCTTCATAAAAATACAATTTTGTATTGTGGTGTTCTTGTAAGAGGCAATAGTTTTAAAAACTTGTGAATAGATATTAAGAAATTAGGAGACCAAAGTGATTCGTCGTGTGCCGAATCCACAGTTTGTGTTGTGTTTTTGTGGGCTAAAAAACTTTTGGCTCGCTTCATTGTCTGAATGGGAGCAACCTAGACATTATGGCACCGATCAGTGATAAGAACGGTCGGTCCTCATGTTGGAGGTATTGTTTCTATAACAAGGGGCCTTGTCGCTATGTGCCTTTGTGTGTGGGGAGGGGGGGGGGCATTCGTGGGTACATTGATTTGAAAGTTATGGGTTATCGTAACGAAAGCATGGGTATGCATGTATGACATTCAAACAACACTTGGCTTGCTGTCGCGTGGCTAATCATTAGTGAAACACCCCGCCTCCCCTCTCTGCTGTGAGCATTTGGTGTCTGTATATAGAACGAATGCATTGAGACAAGCAAACGTTACTACAGCTGGTCCCTGGAGATGTGTTTGATGAGCTGACTAGCACCCAATACTGGTTTGCTGAGATGCTGATGAGGTGACTAACACCCAATAATGGTTTGCTGAGATGCTGATGAGGTGACTAACACCCAATAATGGTTTGCTGAGATGCTGATGAGGTGACTAACACCCTATAATGGTCTGTCGACAGTGTCTGATCTGCCTAAAAAAAAATCTGCATTATGTGTCCGTTGTTGATTGTACACCCCGATGATACATGCCTTATGTTACATAATGACCGGCTGGTGTTACAAAATGTATTCATTTTAAAATAAAATTACGAACACTAGCTGCTGAAGTACCGACACGGTATTGTGTCAAGAAAGACGATTTACTCACACGCTAGAGTCAATGACTAGAGTTGTCGGTCTTGTTTGAAATTTTCCCTTTGTTGAGTGTTGACACTAGTTTGTAAATTGATACCAATAAATAGCCTATTATTTTGAAACGATTACATCTTTCGTTGCCGATGTCCTTTTCAGTTGTCTCTCAACGCCAATTGGTAGGGGATTACAGTTTCTTGGACGTACACAGCTCGGTACAATAGCGTGTTCTACTTGGTAACATGCTCTTCATCTACTTCGACCGTGAGAAATATTTTTTTAAATTATGTAGAAAATAATCTGACGAGTGTCTGGTCTCTGGAAATTTCAAGCGGAGAATAATGACCGATATAAACCCTGACTTTATGTCTGTCTTATTATTTAATATATGTCTTATATTAGCCATGTGATTTAATGCCTGTCTTATATTAGCCATGTGATTTAATGCCTGTCTTATATAAGCCGTGTGATTTCATGCCTGTCTTATATTAATTAGACTTATAATTTCATGTCTGTCATATATTATTTCTTGTCTTATATTAGCCACTTGATTTCATATCTGTCTAATATTAGCCGTGTGATTTCATAGCTGTCTTATATTAGCTACGTGATTTTATGTCAGTCTAATATTGCGGTTGCTCAATGTTTCGTCGTTAGAATTCTAAAGATTTGAAAGCGCTGAAAGATTCGGCTTCTCCTTTTATTGTGACACTATTGTGTTTCTTATCTCGCCTTTCTTCTTTTGTTTGAATTTTTTACGCTTTCGATTCGTGAATATATTGTTGTTGAACGGGGTTATTCGCTATCAGCTTGTCGTCACGGGTTAAAGTTCCCCAGTACGGCAGCAATGTAAAGAGACCCTAGCGTAGCGCCAGAAGAAACAGCGCCAATGGCTGGGCTGAAGGATCACCGGGTAGCCGCAGTAGGACATAGTGCCCGTGTCGTTTGTTACACGGTATTTTTACTTTGCCAGAACTGTGGGCTCAAAAAATACCCGATACCTTACAGTACACGTGTATTTTGTTATATTGGCGAAAAGTGCGGCGGTTACATATCTGTTCATTATACCCACACATGTACAACGTCCCCACACATGTACAACGTCCACACACATGTACAAATTCCCCCACACATATACAACGTCCCCACACATGTCCACTATCCCCACACATTTATACTAAACGCATACGTTGACTATTGCCACCGTTTACCATCCCCACATATCTATTGCAGGCTGACGACCATGAATGTGAGCTAGAACTAGAAGAAATATTAAATCTCGACACAGACAGAGAGAGACGGGAATACGCAATGGTGAGTTCATTTTCGTCTGCCATTCTCCTCATTATCTTTCTCTCCCGACTCTTGTGGGTTTTTTTTTCAACATTTCTTTTTATTGCTACATTGATGTTGCACTTTCTACATATCAACAACTTAAAATATTTTTTTATATTGATAGCGTGTGCTTTCTATATCAACAACTTAAAATATTTTTTATGTTGATAGCGTGTGCTTTCTATATCAACAACTTAAAATATTTTTTATGTTGATAGCGTGTACATCCTAGTACTAAAAAAAAGTGTCCACACAAAGAGATGAATCTGTTAACGGTTGTCACTCATCCGTGACATGAATTCAGTCGCTTGGCTGCCAGCAGAAATTGGTCCACGTTTCTTTAGGCGAGCATTCACGCGTGACCGCTCCAGTAGCTGCACACAATATAGCGATGCGCCGCGTCCGTGTCGTCGTCGCCCCCTCTCCCCCCAGCTGGCATGAATATCTCCGTGCACGATTTGCCTTGACTGTATCCGTGGGGCGCATATTGTCAGCCCTACGGAGGCCTGCACAAATCTTGTAACTTGAGCTTTGTACTGATCAGCTCAGAGCTAAGGAGCTGCGCTTTTTTTTTTATTTGGCCGGCTCTACATTTCATAATTGTGCTCAGATATTATGCGTGTATTTAACAAAAGTGAATTTTAAAGCCTAACTCAACAATCCAAAATATAAGCCGCTAGTCAGTCAGTCATTCACTCATCAGTATAGGTGCTTCATTCGTCGGTATAAACACTTGCATTTGGTCAGCTTGGTATCTGTATCTGCTAATTTTATGCTGGAATCTTTATTGAGTGTCGATGTTTCCTGATTAAACAATTGCAAAATAATAAAATGTATTTGGAACTCCAACAAAAATACATATCGTGTTCTCTAATTAAACTTTGTTTAATGTATTTTGATGCCTTCTATATTTTAAAACAAAGTTTGAGTTGTAACTTCTAATGTAGGCTCAACCCATGAATATACAACGTCTCCCTAAGCCAGTTTATATGTTAGTTTATACCTGCAGTATGTTATAGGAATGCTCTCGTCAATTATTTCAGTATCTAGGTTTATTATGGGCAATACACAACAGGGCTTTTGTTGTTTTAACCCAGGTGACAACCCTGGCGTCATTAAACGAGGTACTGACACTGACAGATTGTGTCGATTGGGAGGTTGGTTTATTTATAGATTCCTGGCTGGGGGTTAAACATTGAACATTTCTTGAGTGTGGTTTAACTGTGCCTTGTGTTGAACCCATGTTGCTCTATAGTTTGTTTTGTGGGTACGGTGATGCTAGTTATGGTTTGGTTTGCGAATAACTTTGGGACGGGCGGATGTGAAAACATGGAGAAAGTAGAGGTACATGCTTGGTGATGTAGACGGCTTTAGGTTGGGTGTCTTGGGGATTGGGGTGATAGCAACCCCATACCGACTGGGGTGATAGCAACCCCATACCGACTGGGGTGATAGCAACCCCATACTGCCTGGGGTGATAGCGATCCCATACCGACTGGGGTGATAGCGATCCCATACCGACTGGGGTGATAGCGATCCCATACCGACTGGGGTGATAGCGATCCTATACCGACTGGGGTGATAGCAACCCATACCGACTGGGGTGATAGCGATCCCATACCGACTGGGGTGATAGCGATCCTAAACCGACTGGGGTGATAGCGATCCCATACCGACTGGGGTGATAGCGATCCCATACCGACTGGGGTGATAGCAACCCCATACCGACTGGGGTGATAGCAACCCCATACTGCCTGGGGTGATAGCGATCCCATACCGACTGGGGTGATAGCGATCCCATACCGACTGGGGTGATAGCGATCCCATACCGACTGGGGTGATAGCGATCCTATACCGACTGGGGTGATAGCAACCCATACCGACTGGGGTGATAGCGATCCCATACCGACTGGGGTGATAGCGATCCTAAACCGACTGGGGTGATAGCGATCCCATACCGACTGGGGTGATAGCGATCCCATACCGACTGGGGTGATAGCGATCCTAAACCGACTGGGGTGATAGCGATCCCATACCGACTGGGGTGATAGCAACCCGTACTGACTGGGTGATAGCGATCCCATACCGACTGGGGTGATAGCGATCCCATATCGACTGGGGTGATAGCAACCCATACCGACTGGGGTGATAGCGATCCCATATCGACTGGGGTGATAGCGATCCCATACCGACTGGGGTGATAGTGACCCACAACTCTAGTCTAAAAGACTCGTCAAAAGACATAGGTCGAGCTTGTCTTTGTGGATGCACACAAGACAAACCTGGACCAAACGTGGGAAGTTGTTGTTCCCTAGACAGCTGCTCATGAAATATGTACCTTCTTCTAGCTCTAGAAGTGTTGTATTGATTCTGCTCCTACAAGCTATCCCACATGCTTCTGATACAAATCTAAGCCAACGAAGCCTCTGATAGGAATCTCTCTTAGCTTGTAACCCGAGCATTGGATTGGGGCTATGGAATACTATAGGCCTAGGTCTTACATTGTCGTAGTCGACCGAGTGGCATGATTTAATTATAGGATTAGTGCATTAGTGTTTGATGAGGACAGACAGTCTTCATGTCAACATACAGCGCCACAATGCTGCTACTGCCCACTACGACACTGGGCAGTATACTCAGCTATTTAGATGATTAGACATTACGATAGATTCCCATGTTATAAGCTGACGTCTTCGGCATCAGGTTATTCTGGCTTGGTATGTCAGCATACATCTGGTGAAACGGAACATTTTGTTCTGCCGCCGTGGTTGCTTGTGTTGCCTGGTCCAACATGCGACGTGCTGGTCAACAGGTCCGTGTTGGACTATCACGTGAGCAAATGTTGGCCAGACAGGTTCTCAAACAGGACATGTAGGCGGTACACTGTCACGTGACGTTACTGTGGTGGCTCCGTGTAACATGGTGTTGTTATAGGACCATGTAACATGGTGTTGTTATAGGACCATCTTATAGGACCATGTAACATGGTGTTGTTATAGGACCATGTTATAGGACCATGTAACATGGTGTTGTTATAGGACCATGTTATAGGACCATGTAATATGGTGTTGTTATAGGACCATGTAACATGGTGTTGTTATAGGACCATGTTATAGGACCATGTAACATGGTGTTGTTATAGGACCATGTTATAGGACCATGTAACATGGTGTTGTTATAGGACCATGTAACATGGTGTTGTTATAGGACCATGTAACATGGTGTTGTTATAGGACCATGTAACATGACGTTATTATAGGACCATGTAACATGGTGTTATTATAGGACCATGTAACATGATGTTACTATAGGATCTTGTGACGTTACTTTAGGACTGTGTCACATGACTTTACCATCGAATCTACCCATCAGCTGGTGGCAACAATGACCTTTCAATGAACTGGCCGTTTATCTCCTACCACCTGACATATTTTTTTTTTAAAATACCGTAAGAAAAACGCGCTACACATGAGCTTTGATGGTGGACTAAGGGTGTCATGTTAGCATTGTCACATCGGCTCTTTTGTACCTCATCAGTAAATCAAACATAGCCGCACGTATACCGCACGTATACCAACCGTGTACGTGTAGGGGACCGTTTGATGACTGAAGCGCGGCAGGTGACAGTTGTACAATTTTATTCATTAAAAAACATTTTAATCAGTTAGAGCTGAGCTGAAACATTTTTTTTTAACTTCAAATGTTGGAGACATGTTACACATCAGTAGTTTTATAATTACGGCATTAGAGTGCTGATTTACAGAAACGTTCTTTTTGTAGAACCTAAAGGCTGATTTCTCTTGTACTTGTAGTGTATCACTAGTGGCCATTAGTACAGTCAGCTGTCAATCCACACGGGGCATTCAATAAGGCATAGTTAAACTGGTGGTTAATACAGCTCCTGATCCACCTTCACACCTCCCCTGCCTGTTCTAGACAATTCTCTAGCCCAACAAGTGGAAAGGGTGATGTCATGGTTGCATTAGTTCCATGTTCTAAAGTTGTTTTTTTTTTCAACTATTTCAGATGCAGTTGCAGAATGCTAAGCAGCCCCCAGAGGAAGTAAATGTAAGTCAGATGTCAACAGCCACTCAAATACAAACCACCACACCACTGCCAACAACCACTCAAATACAAACCACCACATCTCTATCAACACTCTCCCCTACACACATACGAACCCTCACATCACTATCAACATCCCACATACAAACCCTCACATACAAATCCTATCATAACTTTTTAAAAACTCCTTTATATATGCTAAAATCTTGTGTTCTGCTTGTGTGAAGTCTAGTCTTGTCCCAACATCAACCCAACCTACTTTCTCCCCAGAAATTTGTAGATGAGCTGTTGATACGAGCCAAGACCTTATAGCAAGCTGTGCTGTGGTACACCCCTGGTGTCTGGAAGTGCTCTGGTCTGCTCCTGATATACCTACATGTACATACACCTAGTGACTGTAGCAGAAGCCTGAAACTTCTGGAACTCTGAACAAACTTGTCTGGCAGCCAGTGATTTAAAAAAAAAATTTGACCCTTGTTTACATTTGGTAGCCTACATGTGCATGAGAAATATTTCTGTGTGTTTTAGTCAAGGGTCAGATGGTTGGTATACATATATAACCCTCAGCTGTTTCAAGTGAAACTTGTATTTCTGCATGCGCTTCAGTATTGAGCCCTGCTTTGATGGTGGACCAGCTGTAATGGACAATGGCATTCTTAATGATGTGGATATAAATATATGTAACATTTCACTCATTTAGTCATATTGGCTGATTTATGTAATATATGTATGTCTTTCTTTAGTTTGTTGATTTTGTAAAAAAAAAAAAAAAAACCTCTTTGCTAATAGGTTCATTTCTAGATGGCACTGTGACCATTGATATTAATCATTGACGTCTGCTAGTTGATTTATGTCACTGACATTGTCAGCTGCTGGTTGATGTTTGTCACAGTGACCATCAACATTTAGCTACCCCAGGACCAGGCTGTTCTAACTCCATTTTTACATTTTTTTGTGGATTTATTCACCATTTGGTTCTTAACCAGCTTAAACCTACCATGATACAAACCTACTATGATACAAACCTACCATGATATCATAATAGAAAAAAAATTGTTACTCATATCTCCTACCATTATTACACCAGTAAAGTACCCCTTCGAACTTATAGATGCAGGTGAAGTAGAGTTCACCTGTTTCCGTGACTACACCACGTGTAGGGATAGTGTGTTCATCACAATGCTCAGCCGTCCTTACTTTTCCTAACAACTTCAGGTACTTATTGACTTGAGCCCGTTTACCAAGTTCTTAATATAAAACATGAAGTAAAACAGAACTATGAAGTCTGGTGAAACATTTATAAAAACTTTGAGTTAGAACTGTCTGGTTCTGTGTAAGCTATTTGTCACCTTTAACTGCTGACAGATGATCACAGACATCTTGGTGACAACTGCTTTTTGATGTTTGTTGAGCTAAAGCAATCCCTGACACTACTGACACAATTGAGCAATCACTGTTTTGTTGACTGACTCAACACTTATGCTGGGTTTTATTTATTAACTCTCTATCTCTGTTGTGTATAATTCAGTTCCCTCAATTTTTCTATTGGTTGGCTGCTTACCGTGTTGTGTAGAAGATGGTCGTTGTTTTGTTGGTCTACTGTCAAAGATTTTTGTAGGTTGATGTATTATCATACCTGTTTGTCTTTACATTGTTAGCATATATTTAATAGACATGTTGAATGAAAGGTTTTTTTTAATTGTTACGCTTTTAATATTGGAATCTTACAATTAGTCTTGTGTGAGTTTAATCTCTTTATAATTGTATTTAATCAGTGCTAGAGAGATTATGGTGAGATGGTTACCAGAGTAATCCTAGCTAGTACTGGACTAGACCAAACATTTCTGATAGCATTGTATCACACACACACACACACACACACAGTCCTGTATGATACAACACATATACACACAGTACAACACACACAGTCATGTATGGTACATAACACAGAGTAATGTACTGTACATCACACAAAACTGGGTGCACACATGCAGACAACACAACACAGAGACTATCATTGAAACATAACCACCCCCATTTTGCTCTCTCTCTCTACTGTGTGTTACTGTTGAATGTTTCAATGATGAGTAGATTATTCTAACATTACTAACAACCTGACATTTCTGTTTAGCCTTGGCTCTCATCTAGAATGGAGCTGCTGTGAATCCATCTGATGGAGACTGTTGGTTTGGTGTAGTTTTTGTGGTGTCTTCAGCCACGGATGACCCTTAATTCTATTTAAGGGATATAATTTTACCTCACTAGCTGTGACAATCTCTTTTGCATTTTGTGTCTAACATAAGTTGTTTGAAAAGTTTGCCGTCAAATTGTTTAAGGTTCATGCTTGGAAAAGGCAGCTGATAACGTCTATTGCGGATCCAGTCTTTAGACTGTTTGTGTCAGGTTTGTTAGGATTAAATGAGCCAGGTGTTTACATGTGGCATGGAATAACATACTTTTATATATACCTTTTCAAAAGACAAATTATGAATTAAATTCATTGCTGCTATAAAGTTTATGCTTAGATCTGTTGGTTTTATTTAAATCCAATAGTTGCTGGTTCTTTTATTTAACTGAGGTAAAAGCCTCAAATATGTATATTCTGATGTATGTCTATGTCTGTTCTCTAATATTTTTTTTTTGACAAGCAAGTGCCAAACTGGTCAATTCTTAATTTAAAATAAAAGGGTGAGTGTAGGTGCAGTAGAGTTGGTTGTATTGCCTCCATGGACTTGTGTCACTAAAATGCATATCATAAGTGTAGGTGACTTGAATGTTTCGGAGATCTAGCAGCTGAAGCTTGATGTGAAGATGGTGGCTAGTCAGAGTACTTGAATATGGGTGTCGTATAAGTTTTAGAGTGAAGAATTAGTGTACAATTTCTTGCTAAAATAATTGAGATGAATGTAGCACACACATTTTTAAATTCTACTTTAGCAGTAGCCATTTCATATATTAACTTGTATGGGATCACTAACCTCAGGTTGCTAAGGTAGTTGCTTGGACTAGTTCAACCTGGTCTAGCTGCCATTTTTGACTCACTGTCAGCAACATAAACTTCTTATTCAATCAATAAAAAGAATTATTTCCTTGTTCACCATGGAGCAGCTAGAAAAAGATCTAGATTACTACAGCCCTCTCTTATCAAACTTCTCAGAAGTTGGCCTAAACTGCCAGTGCCACTTCCTTGTTGAGGAATGCTTTTATCTGCTGCCCTAGTAGATCCTGGTTCTGGGATTGTTTCTGTTGACACGCCCATAGAAGGTGTGTACTAGTTTAGCGTGCCACCTGCCAGTAGCAGGTGTTGGAGCATTGGAACCATTCACTTTCTCAGTCCATGCCATGGTTAGGTGACCTCGCACTCATATTTTAGATGATTCACTGGGTGGTGCACATTAGTTAACAACTTTTGTTGTCAGTTGTTTTAGTGAGCTGATAGGGTATAGCAGATGTTTGTTTTCTGATAGATGAAATATCAGCAAAGAACAAACTGAAGGTTCTACTGTAGGGCCGGGGGGGGGGGGGGGGGGGGGGAAGTCACCTATAATAGTTCAAATTTTCCCTTTATACTGCTGGGGTAAATGCTTTAGCTGACTGGTCCATTGGCATTATCGCCTTTCAATTACTGATGTCCCTACACCTAACTGCATGACTCAGCTAAATAATTGTGCAAATATTTTTGTGTGTTTTTCCTAGCTTTCATTCCATTTGTTTCTTTCAGACATCTTTCTCTCTGCCCCCCCCCCCCCCTTTCCCCAATAAAAATAGTAAAAAGTATTAAGTATTAATTAGAAAGTTATTACCTTAATCTGTGAGTAAAATGTCTGAAAGAAACCCTAATTCCAATATCTGAGTGATATTATTAAGGTGTTGAGTGTTTAATTCCTGACATTGTTCTATCTCACTGATTCCATGCATTGCCTCTATACTGCTGCTTGTAAGTGACCTTGCTGGAAGAATGCTTGATCTACCTTGTTCTTCTTCACATTCTTGTCTTGGTGGCATCTAGATTTAAATGATTCAGTCCACAAACTACTGGAGGAGATATGTTTTAACATTAAATTGTAAGCAGTTGTATTACTTGTATGTAGAAGTATGGATTATGTTTTCATGTACGTAGTGTTGAGGCAGCGTATGGTGGTTATGCCAGGTATTTCAGCATATTACCAGTTGTCTTGTGTAGACAAGATCTATTAGGACAAATTTGAACCTGTCAGCAATACATTTTGATCAATACATTATATATAGGACTGCTGTTGAAAAAGTAGATTTGAAGCCATTCAATTGTTTTAGACATTGTGCATGTGGATCACCTGTTGATGTCCAATGGCAGCCTGACATGAATGATGGTGTTTGTAGTTGTGAATGAGTTTCTTTTCCTTTGTAATGTATATATCTGTCTTTGTTATTTTGTTGTGAATCAAATCCAAATGTAAAGAAAACTTTGTACAATGTAATCTTATCTTTGTTAAATGGAAGTAAAAAAAAAGTTTGACACTTTGCTTGGTTTATTTCTTAAATTATTTTTATCTTTTTTTTAAAATTTCTTACATTATTTTCTTGTTTTATACTTGTATTAAGAAAGTTCATTTTTAGAATGTATGGTGTTTAAAGACCTTAATTAATGGAACATAAATTAGTTTCTCACGACTTACAAAAGGGAAGGGGGAATAACTGTGTTTAATGGCTTACAATGTAAAAACAACATAGTTGCCTCCCCTTTTTACGTGTTTAATCTTACTTTCATAAGTAAAGCATAGGGTACAAAAGATGTTAATTTTGAAGATTTTTTTTTAATATATAGATCATGTTTAACCACAAAATCATTACAACTAAAAAGTCATTTTTGTTACACAAATTATTCAATAGAGATATTAGAAATACATTGTCAAAAATGAGAAAGTCATCGTAATATATATATATAGATAAAGTCTGTAAAACTATTGGAAAACCACAGCAACAGTCAAGTAATTCAAAACTTTGCACAATAATCATATCTTACAGGTATAAAAGAAAATGCGAAGCATATCAAACACGCGAACATTTTTATGATGTATTCTGGAATTTTCATTAGGATAGATTCGCTATACAAGTCTATAACAATATTCTAAGGGAGATTATCAGAATATTATTTTTATAAATATGGTATGTTAAGTTGTTTCCCTTGGTGTGGGTTTTTTTTTCTTTGGTCTAATTCTAATACAATAGTTAATCCAGTTTTAATATTGTCAATTAAAATGCACTCACCTTTTCAAGTTCACATGAGTGTGTCGGTGGGTGTATGGTTGACAGGAGATGATTTGATCATAAAGACACTGTGTAATGAATTGTATAATAGAAACATGTGTTGATGGTCTAATGTAGTATTCATACATCACACCCAGATCTGACAGTCCTAGATCACAGACTTCTTTGCTGTGTCTGCACTTTGGCTGACCCATACACCTGATAGCCAGGAATAACACAATATAACAAATATGATCAAAGTCATATTTCATCTGCATGTTTAAAAACAGCTAGATGAGAAATATTTTAATTTAATTACAGAGCTGTTTTCTAATTAATGCACCAACACATTTTAACTAACCTGGACAAAATGTTAAGACAGTAAAGAAAAGGGATTTGAACCATACGCTAAGAGAACACCCTGCTAGAAAAGTAATGTATTTATATAGTGCTGCAAACAAGGGGACGCAATCTACTAGAAAAAAATCTACTTTAATTAAACGTGATTATCTACCTTAAATATTGTTCAGACTGAAATGGTAAGCACATTATAATAATGAAATAAGATTATTTTTTTAAATGTTGATTTTTTATTTGTATTTTAATATCTGAGGGCAGTACTCTGTTGTTAAAATATGTGGAAGTGTTACATTTCTATTTATAAATATATATTTAACTGTGGGTTTAAACTGATAGATGACTTTGACCACCAAATAATGACAAATGCTGACTTCTACCTTCATGTGGCTACCAGGTGTATTCAGCACTTCAAACAGCTTCAAAAACCCAAAAGAAAAACAGGAAAAAAATGGGATTTCAAAACCTTAAAAAAATAAATGTTGCAAACATGCTAGTAGAGAAGTCTGGAAATAACTCACATGCACACACAGTTCAAACAGAGATACAGTAAATAGCTGTTAACATCATAGCTGCAGCCAATAGCTATAAACACATACATTATAGCTGCAGCCAATAGATGCTAACTTACACACATAACTACAGCCAATAGCTGAACACACACATCATAGCTGCAGCCAATAGATGTTAACTTAAAAACATCATAGCTATATCCAAGCTGTAGCCAATAGTTGTCAGTTTTAAAAAAAAAACTTTTAAAATAAATAATTAGTCTGTAGACGTACACTAGAAGGATGTGGACGCCAGACTTTTGAGCAGAACGATCTAATGGTCGAGGACCGAACATGGGTACAATGTGTTTAGACTTCTCCAACAGAGCAAACACAGAGCCGTGTGGAGATTCCTGGTCGGTGTCGCTGTTAGGGTTGGGCTCGGGTCATGGTTAGGGTACCACACCCACCACGGGTCATGGCCAGGGTACCACACCCACCACGGGTCATGGCTAGGGTACCACACCCACCACGTGTCATGGCTAGGGTACCACACCCACCACGGGTCATGGCCAGGGTACCACACCCACCACGGGTCATGGCCAGGGTACCACACCCACCACTTAACAGTCATATCTGAGGGCATTATGAAGTTTTACATTGTAAACTACCGTCTCTAGAAAATCGCACTCCGGAAGTGAACTTTGACCTGCAATCACTACCGTTCTTTTTTCCACTTTTGGCCTAAGGTCAAGTGACGTCACATTGAAGTGGGTTAATAAGTGTCTGTTGTGGCTCCATATCTGGTTGCACAATCGAGTTCAACAGGTCAGGTCAGTGCTGAGGTACAAAGACCTGACAACTTTATCGAAAGTAAACGTCAAGTCCATCAACAATTGCGAGTCAGTTTCAACACTAACCGACCAATCACGCAACTCAAGGAAGATGAAATACGTCACTCTGGGGGAAATGATGTGCAGTCGGCAAGTAGGCAAACATCAGGCAATCCCACAGTAGGCAAACATCAGGCAATCCCACAGTAGGCAAACATTAGGCAATCGCACAGAAGGCACACACAGAGAGCAGACGATCGTCACGGCTAACACTTCCGGTCGCCCGCCGGGTACTTGACCTTGAGCTCGTCCTTGAACTTCCGGTACAGCAGTCGGTTCCGGTCGTTCTCTTTGTCTTTCTGCGCGTGGAACTTGTCCTTTACCTTGAAGCCCTTGTGAACCAGGAAGGCGTTGTCCAGCACGTGGAAGATGAAGCCTGCTAGGTGCATCTCACACACCTGAAGATAGAAAACACAAATATAAGCCTGCTAGGTGCATCTCACACACCTGAAGATAGAAAACATAAATATAACCCTGCTATGTGCATCTCACACACCTGAAGATAGAAAACACAAATATAAGCCTGCCATGTGCATCTCACACACCTGAAGATAGAAAACACAAATATAAGCCTGCTATGTGCATCTCACACACCTGAAGATAGAAAACACAAATATAAGCCTGCTATGTGCATCTCACACACCTGAAGATAGAAAACACAAATATAAGCCTGCTATGTGCATCTCACACACCTGAAGATAGAAAACACAAATATAAGCCTGCTATGTGCATCTCACACACCTGAAGATAGAAAACACAAATATAAGCCTGCTATGTGCATCTCACACACCTGAAGATAGAAAACACAATGTTAACTGTTAAATTACTCAGTTTTAAAACAGTCGTTTTTATTTTTTTTAAAATAAAACATTCAATTAAAGCACCAAATAAAAAGAATAAGAAAATATAAGTGAAAGCAATAGAAACAGGACAATCAAATGTCATTGAAAACACTAGAAACAGGACAATCAAATGTCATTGAAACACTAGAAACAGGACAATCAAATGTCATTGAAACACTAGAAACAGGACAATCAAATGTCATTGAAACACTAGAAACAGGACATCAAATATCATTGAAAACACTAGAAACAGGACATCAAATATCATTGAAAACACTAGAAACAGGACATCAAATGTCATTGAAAACAATAGAAACAGGACATCAAATATCATGGAAAACACTAGAAACAGGACAAGAAAATGTCATTGAAAACACTAGAAACAAGACATCAAATGTCATGGAAAACAATAGAAACAGGACAATCAAATGTCATTGAAAACACTAGAAACAGGACAATCAAATGTCATTGAAAACACTAGAAACAGGACAATAAAATGTCATTGAAAACACTAGAAACAGGACATCAAATGTCATTGAAAACACTAGAAACAGGACATCAAATGTCATTGAAAACACTAGAAACAGGACATCAAATGTCATTGAAAACACTAGAAACAGGACAAGAAAAGCTGAGAATCTGTGTCGGCAGAGTTACAAGTCAAACAAGCCAGTAAGCAGCTTGTCATTAAGGTTCCTTAATTACTCATTAGGCAGCTTTGGCAAAAAAAGTGCAAGCGTTTGAAGAAGGAGGGGGGGGGGGGGATCAGAAGGTTTTTTGACAAGCAGATGAAAGACGGGATGAGGAAGGGGGGAGGGGCGGAACTTTAGGACACGTCATGTTAGTATAAGCTTCTTTTACAATAGAGTATGATGGGACAAACGTCTGACACTGTCACTGCCACTGGTCTGACACTGTCACTGCCACTTTTGACAGTGTCCCTACTCTGACTATAGCTTGAGGTGACACACAGCTATAGCATAAGGTCAAGATGAACGCACCAGACAGTTAAATCTTGAGTTACGCAATGGCCACTGGGTACCTCATAACGGAAAAGAAGCGTGTTGTGATAAAATACAGTGTCCGGGAACAAGGGAGGCGATCACCGTGTCAGTGGATGAAAGGCGTCATACGGCAATAAGTTGGTCAAAGTAACGCTGACAGTGTCAATTGTTATACGTGACAGTTTGTCAAGTGTCACAACGGGGAGGTGGGGGTGGGGTATGCTGCCAATATACAAGTGTACTGGGTACCTCTGCACATGACGACCCTCCCCCCCCCCACCACTATCAGCACAAAATGATCCATCGCTTCCCCCTTATACCCCCTCCCCTTCCCCCGCCTCCAATGTTGAACTTGGCACCCCACATAGAACGGTCCACGATCTTACAGCAGAACTAAACCCATCCGTGGTAGGGTGGATGATAACGTCTTACAGGTAGATACAATATAACAGGTGGGATAGTCATGACGATTAGGTCGATGTAATATAACAGGTAGGATAGTCATGACGACTAGGTCGATACAATGTTACAGGTGGGATAGTCATGACGGTTAGGTGAATATAATGGTGAAATAATTAGATGATTATAGAGGTAACAATTATATTATAAAGGGGACATGATTAAGTGATTATCGAGAGGGAGGACACTGAGTTATATTATTATATAAGGTAAGACGATTAACTGATTCTAAAGGTGACACGATTAACTGGTTCTAAAGGTGACACGATTAACTGATTCTAAAGGTGACACGATTAACTGATTCTAAAGGTGAGACGATTAACTGATTCTAAAGGTGAGACGATTAACTGATTATAAAGGTGACACGATTAACTCATTCTAAAGGTGAGACGATTAACTGATTATAAAGGTGAGACGATTAACTGATTATAAAGGTGACACGATTAACTGATTATAAAGGTGAGACGATTAACTGATTATAAAGGTGACACGATTAACTGATTCTAAAGGTGACACGATTAACTGATTCTAAAGGTGAGACGATTAACTGATTCTAAAGGTGAGACGATTAACTGATTATAAAGGTGACACGATTAACTCATTCTAAAGGTGAGACGATTAACTGATTCTAAAGGTGAGACGATTAACTGATTCTAAAGGTGACACGATTAACTGGTTCTAAAGGTGACACGATTAACTGATTCTAAAGGTGACACGATTAACTGATTCTAAAGGTGAGACGATTAACTGATTCTAAAGGTGAGACGATTAACTGATTATAAAGGTGACACGATTAACTCATTCTAAAGGTGAGACGATTAACTGATTATAAAGGTGAGACGATTAACTGATTATAAAGGTGACACGATTAACTGATTATAAAGGTGAGACGATTAACTGATTATAAAGGTGACACGATTAACTGATTCTAAAGGTGACACGATTAACTGATTCTAAAGGTGAGACGATTAACTGATTCTAAAGGTGAGACGATTAACTGATTATAAAGGTGACACGATTAACTCATTCTAAAGGTGAGACGATTAACTGATTCTAAAGGTGAGACGATTAACTGATTATAAAGGTGACACGATTAACTGATTATAAAGGTGAGACGATTAACTGATTCTAAAGGTGAGACGATTAGATGATTCAAAAGGTGCGACGATTAACTGATTATATAGGTGAGACGATTAACTGATTATAAAAGTGACACGATAAAGTGATTCTAAAGGTGACACTATTCAGTTACTACAAAGTGCAGGCGCATACATTGATCACTGCATCAACTGATGAGATGTCGGCGAGCAGATCAATTGCTGACTGGTAACGATTGATTGATTGACTGATCGATTGGTTGATCCAATTATCGCCATCGATCTCTTGCATCATCAAATTACGAACCATGCGGGGGCAGATGAAAACAAAACCTCCTGGTACACATATCAGCGTGTGGTGGCCTGGTCGGACGCTGGAGCGTTTGACTACCAGCCCGAACGTCTCGAGTTCGGATCACGGTTCGTGTCTGTAAGACGTCCCTGAGTCCACCCAGCTCTGATGGGTTCCTGATTTACGGTAGGGGAAGTAGAGGCGGCTGAACAAAGTGCTGGCCACAGAATCCCTTCATATGCTGATCTCACAAATACAAATAAGCTCTACTTCACCTGCCCTGTGGGCCACTAGGGAACTATCTTACTTTACTTATCTGGGCAAGCTGCTTCCAGCTGAACTCATTGTGCAAACCAACCCGTTCTGACCAACCCGTGCTGACCAACCAATGCTCAACAACCCATGCTGACCAACCCGTTCTGACCAACCCATGCTCAACAACCCATGCAAGCCAACCGGTGCTGACCAACCCGTGTTGCTAAAAATAGCCACTGAGGCCAGCTACATTGATTCAAGCTACGGTCTATGACGTGGGCCCTCATTTACCAGGGTAAACATATCCCCCCTCACCCCCGGGGGTGGCGTGTTCACGTGAGCAAACAACCCCCTATAGACCGGGGCATTGTGGGACACATCACACCCTGGGTCTTAAATCTACTCAACGATGCTCATGTACCTTGCCAGAGCATCACACCCTGGGTCTTAAATCTACTCAACCGATGGTCATGTACCTTGCCAGAGCATCACACCCTGGGTCTTAAATCTACTCAACCGATGGCCATGTACCTTGACACATCACACCCTGGGTCTTAAATCTACTCAACCGATGTTCATGTACCTTGCCAAAGCATCACACCCTGGGTCTTAAATCTACTCAACCGATGGCCATGTACCTTGCCAGAGCATCACACCCTGGGTCTTAAATCTACTCAACCGATGCTCATGTACCTTGCCCGAGAGCTACCATGATCCTTCGAACGGAAAAGAAACAACAATATTTTCTAAGGACGGGAACTTTCCCATTTCTTGAAGTCTTCACTTAATAGCAGGATAGTGTTTTAGTAAAGAAGAAACTGGCAGTGTCAGGCGTCAGTAGTGTCATCTGACAGCATCCAGCCTTGTAGTGTACCAACATCCTTCAGGTGTCGCACGTCCCATTACACCATACGGCATATCCAACAACCACCCTATGGCATATCCAACAACCACCCTATGGCATATCCAACAACCACCCTATGGCATATCCAACAACCACCCTATGGCATATCCAACAACCACCCTATGGCATATCCAACAACCACCCTATGGCATATCCAACAACCACCCTATGGCATATCCAACAACCACCCTATGGCATATCCAACAACCACCCTATGGCATATCCAACAACCACCCTATGGCATATCCAACAACCACCCTATGGCATATCCAACAACCACCCTATGGCATATCCAACAACCACCCTATGGCATATCCAACAACCACCCTATGGCATATCCAACAAACACCCTATGGCATATCCAACAACCACCCTATGGCATATCCAACAACCACCCTATGGCATATCCAACAACCACCCTATGGCATATCCAACAACCACCCTATGGCATATCCAACAACCACCCTATGGCATATCCAACAACCACCCTATGGCATATCCAACAACCACCCTATGGCATATCCAACAACCACCCTACGGCATAT